ACAACTTACACCACCTTGTAGTGAAAATGGTACAAGCAGTACTTGTTTACCTTATTGTTGCAAAATATAAATTATAAATCATGTCACATATAGTGGTCTAATCTACTATTATTCTACAGTATTAAAGAATAAAGTCCTTAGCTGAGTGGTTGTAATAGCCTAATTAGGCTGGATAATGTTCTTCCACTATCTGCTAAGGGTGTGGTCCTCAGGGTGCCACGTAATGGCGGCCTGGGCAAGCTGGTGTCTTTGTGTACAACAGAGTAGTAATTCTACAATTATGTTGGGGGGCCAGTTGCCTGCTTCAGTAACTTCACATTAAGGCTTACCTGTAAAGTAATGGATTGCACTAATATTGGCTCCATTAACATGTAAATACAGGCGACATGGAATTTTGTGTGTGTAGTAAAGAGCTGAGTAAAATGCTACTCACTGTGTTTGTGTTTTTCTCATGCTAATAACCACCTACTTATTCTATATTATACAGTGCACCAATAATAACAACAGAATATAAAGCAGTCGGATACTTAAGCGCTCCTTATGTTGTAGAATTGCTGTGGCTGTTCACTAGGACAGAATAAGGTGTCTGTCCGGTGTGAAGCATATCTTAATTCTTCAGGAGCACTTGTTTCGTGTTGTTTTGTTATGATTCTGTCGCGTACGTGATCGATGCCTCCCTAGGGGAGACGTCCTAAAATGTTTTGTGGTTCTATTTGTATCTTAAGGAATAGAGAGTTAAGCTATATTCCTTGTGTTGGTAATTATATTCAGTCCTAGTGAATACTTTTTTATTAAGTTTAGACACTAAACTGTTGTTTAAAAAGAAATGAGAGTTAATATATACACGTCTGTTGTGATGGCATCACGGAGTCAACCATTCTCTTTTTTAATGGGGTAACTTATTATTATATGTGTTGGATTTCCGACACACAACGTTTGTAAGTTTGCTGCTCTTGCTGCCTGTGAGAGTATGGTCTCTCAAGATTCTCCCACAGCTGAGTTGAATGGCTCATTGTGGTGCACCATGCACCTAGTCGTGCACAGGGCCCTACCTCTGTTAACCCTGGATGTAAACTGTCATGTTGGGTGTCCCCAGGATGCCCACATAACCAGGAATACTTATAAAAAACGGAGGCCACCGTATGCCCAAATGTAAATTAGGTACAGGGAAATTAAGCATACTTGCCATAGGGTCAGTGAGTACATAGCTGGAGGTGCCAAGCATGAGAGAAAGAGAGGCACCCACGAGGTGAGAGATAAGCTCTGACCTCTGGGGTAAATCTCAATAACAACAGTGATGTGGTCGTGACGTGTTTATGACATCACCTCTGCTACCGATCATGTAACGATCAATATCATTGGTTCCGACACGTTTGCCGCAACGCCATTGGCCAATTGTAGACCTGGTGTTTGTGCTACCACGAGGAGCCTTGCAATCCCTTGCAACGGTATTCTCATGAGGAAGTCCGTACATAGTTGACGTGTCGTTCTATCTATAGGCCAATAGACAGAACACCATCCATTCCTCACCGTCAAGTTAAACTCAGCATCTTCTCGATATACCAACACTCGCCCGGATTGCGATCATGACTATATTGTTAAGAAATCATAGAGTGAAAAGTCTGTGAATCTCCAGAACGAAACAGACTGATATCAGGTAATCCCTGGTGACAAATGAGATCGTCTGTGAATGACCTAGAGTGAACTAAGGTAGTGCTGCCGCCTAAGTAATCTGTGTGTGACTTTACCACATTGTACCTGTATGGTTCTATATAATCAGCCGCTGCCAGCCGCCACTCAGTCCAGAGTGTGTAGCCGCTGCCAGCCGCCACCCCCCTGTCTCATTGTACTATCTGACGTCACCACCCGTCACCCCTTACTCACCGCCAGTCAGTGCCATCAAGTGTGTGTGTGTGTGTCTGTCTGTTAGGCATACAGCACGCCCTCCTATGTGAGTACCCTCCGTGTCAAGTACGGTTTGTTGGGAAAGCCTGTCATCAATGGTATCACGTCGTAATGAGCGAAACCAGCTGTCAGGCCACCTACGAGTTCTTGCATAAATGTGCCTGAGTGAGTGAATGGGAGAAGTAGCCTACCTGTAAGTACAAGATTTTGTGTTTTATTATTGTGTCTGTCTGTGTGTTGAGCTGAGGGATAAACCACAGTTCTCACCTTCTCATACCTGACCCAGGTATTGGTGGAGACACCCAACAGTGTATGAGTGTTTATCTGTGTGGTACCATGATATTACACTCGTCTGTGAATGAATGTGAGTTTCACATAGACCACACATTTAGTTATTGTGTGACATTATTATTTTGCATGATTATTGCCTGTCTCATTGACAGTGCCATTGTGATTTATTGTGCATCATCATTACCCGAATATCCGGTTGGAACTCTTGTGACCCTTTGCACACCGGCAGTTAGGTTTGCTGTGTTAAAGATTGGCTGTCAATTGTGCTAAGTAAGGTGGATCCACTCCACGAGTGGATCTGAATCAATTAGCCAGACGTCAAGAGTCTCGCTAATGCAACCAAAGTCTTTCTGACGCAAATCTAAAGTAAGTTAAGTACCCTTTGTATTTGTGGTTACATTTGTAAATAAACTACTGTTAAGCTTTATACGGTGTTTCCGTTGAACCACTTCTGAATACTGCCAACTATTACTTAAGCCTTCAGCTCCAGGTGTCTTCAACACCGAGTTGCCTATTATTCACTAATCTATAAATGTGATGAGTACCCTAGCAGTCCATTAAAGTGTTTTAAGCATTGAGGAGATTCCAACGACCAACGTGGATCAGGACCAGGTGAGGCTAGTCTGAGAAGAGACCCTCAAGGACTGTAACTCGACCTTGCTCCCAGGCCCTGTACGGTTGCTTTCATATTTTCTCTGCTGGATTCCGAAAGCTTCGTGAAGCGTCTGCCACATGTACATTGGTGACGTACGCATTGCAGTTGGAAAGACAAAGTAGAAAACCCCACACTGCTGTCTTTGGCAACATGTCTAGGGCTGTCATTTGGGTGCAGAGTTTTTGGTGGTCGAACAGGGTCTGGCTGCACGTTACTTAGTTAATGTTCTTGGGCCTTGTTGGGCCTGTGTCGCTTTGGGTCAGTGGTTGCAGCCAGTTGTCTCGGCTTCGCGTTGAGCGAGCAACGACCACCTCCCGTGTAAGTCCCTCTTGTTTTTGTCTTTTGGTAAGTAGCTCCGGGGAGCCAACGGGTCTCCCCCCAGAAAACCAGCGTTGAATGTAATGAAATGCCATTTTCTGGGTGAGACCCGGAGGCTCCCCGGCAACCCTCCCTCCCTCTGGTTGGTGGTTTTTCACATGCTTTTGATATCCAACCTCAGAACTGGGGTCTTGAGTAGCCGGCGTGAGGGGTCTGGGGCTTCCCTTCCCACTCCTGGGGAGGGGGAAGCTGCACAGACGGCAGCGCTGCAACGTGGTGATGTCATGCTCATTTGCTTGTTTTTGTTTGGGGAGTTCTGTCCACTAGTTCGGCTTTCAGTAGCAATTTCTTAACCAGAATAGGGGTTTGTGTTGGGATGCTTAACTTTCTGGATGCCTGACCCGGTCGATGGCAAACATAGAATGCCTGGGGTTTCTATAGGCCATTACTACTCGTGCCTCTCTGAGGGGGCCAGGTTTTGGCTCGTGGTCCCTGGTAAGCCTAAGAACTCCATTCACACTGATGCCAAAGTCTAATATTAGCAATATCGGCCTGGATAGCTCCGGGGAGCCTCTGGGTCTCACCTAGAAAAATGTCATTTCATTACATTCATCACTGTTTGTTTTTTTTGACACTGTTCACTGAACATTTTCCAGGGTACTGTATTGTGTAGGTTATGTATTGGCTCCATACACGATTAATTTCTGGACACTTAATAGAACAGAGAATTGCACCTTACTGTCAGAACAGCATTGTCCTATTAACAGCAACATATTGTAGAATACAGTATGCTGATTTTTTGCAGAACATAAATCACAATAATATGGCTGGTCATTTTAGATGCCAGCCCACAAATCGGAAAATAAGGATCTTATGACATTTTGGTTCATCCTGGAACATTATTGCCATGTATGTAACTTAATAATGGTCCAGGATGGGCTGAAACAGCGTTGGTTCTTTTATTTTCAGATTTGTGGGTTGGATGTCTAATTTTCAGGATAATAAAAAAATTTACATTCCCAAAACTCATTTTGAGTCATATCTTTTGATAAAAACCTTGGGAAATATGACTCCTTTGACATTGGTTGTCTTACATCGCTTTGTTCTTGCATTGGCATTCCGAGTGATATCTAGGAATTTTTAAATATTCTGTGACATATGGTGTTAAATAGTCTAATATGCTTGGCACCTTTTGATAAATACTGTACTTAAATTATTTGTTCATGGCAGATAGTATACATCTTTTTGATGACAAGGTCAAAGATTTGTGTCATTCCTAACGTTTGGTTGATTGATGTTATTAGAGATGCACTGATGAGTCCAGACATGATAATAAAGGGTTAGATAAGGCATGAGTACTTTAACTTGCATTTGGGCAGTGTCAGTGGGTAGTTGCAGAGTTTCAGTGATGCCGCAGTCAGCAAGGAATGAACTCGCCTATTGGTCACTTGCAGTATCATACCCTCTCCTTGTGCTGTATTTCTTGACAATGAGTATTCAATCAGTGATGACTATAATGACCAAATGAACTCACACGTTACATTGCCAACACCAATAGGAACTAACGCAATACAATATGTAGTTCCTCGTATCAAAAGCAATATTGAATATATAAAATAAAATGTGTGACAGTAATAGCTAGAGGGTGTTTTTTTATTCTATGCTGACCTAGTTGTGGACATTATTTGTTCATCCAATCATGGGGTCAGTATGATGAGGGCTGCTCACTTTTTTTTGGTTATTACTTTCAGCCTTTGGTATTACATATACAGCAGAATGAATGTGTGCACTTGTACTAAATTATAAAAACAAAATTAAATTTCTTTTGCAGGCTAATGAGTGTGGTGGCCAGATTGGTGACTGCCTCGGTTGCCCGGACACTCCTCTTCACCAGCTACTCTCCTGTGTGCTCGACTCCTGTGGCCAGGTCACTACATGGAGCCCGCTTCACCCCAGTTTTCTTGCTCACCAGTGCCCGGGAAATGACGACGAAAGGAAAGGGGGTAAGTGTGGTTTTTAGTTTTATATGATGGGATTTGCCTAAATTTAGGATTTTATGCTTAGTTCCTATGTTCTGTACTGCATACCGTACTTAAATGTATTCACAGACGTTCAAATATTTCTTGGTCCTGTGATGCGCAGATCATGGATAACTCCTTGCTACTTCTGCTATCCTGGCCACCACTATCACCTTTATCCTGGTCAGTGATATACTATCACTACTGCCACCCCCCCATCCTGATCACCACTATCAACCCTCCTTCGTCCTCTCCATCCTGGTCACTACTATCACCTCCACCATTCCCCTCCCCATCCTGGCCACTACATCTGGTTGATACCTGGTTGATGGGATTCTGGGAGTTCTTCTACTCCTCAAGCCCGGCCCGAGGCCAAGCTTGCCTTGTGAGAGTTTGGTCCGCTAGGCTGTTGCTTTGTGCGGCCCGCAGGCCCACATACCCATCACAACCCGGTTGGTCCGGCACTCCTTGGAGGAATAAATCTAGTTTCCTCTTGAAGATGTCCACGGTTGTTCCGGCAATATTTCTTATGCTCGCTGGGAGGATGTTGAACAACCGTGGACATCTGATGTTTATACAGTGTTCTCTGATTGTGCCTATGGCACCCCTGCTCTTCACTGGTTCTATTCTGCATTTTCTTCCATATCGTTCACTCCAGTACGTTGTTATTTTACTGTGTAGATTTGGTACTTGGCCCTCCAGTATCTTCCAGGTGTATATTGTGACGATAATCTCTTTCAAGAGAGATTGAGCCTGCTCTTCCCTACAAAGTACGTAAAAACAAAAGATAATATAGAAGATACGTCCAGCAAGTATCGCCAAACGTTTTGCCCAGAGAGCAAAACGTACCCAGCACACAGTGACACCTGCTAGCTACCGCCACCGTAAATCAGCAAACTGCTTGTCCTTTGCCTGCCTTTCGCTGATTGGCTGGTGTCCCGTCGCACCTGCCCTCCGCCCTCCGCCACAAGTTGATGTCTGGGCTGCAGTGCTTCAGTATTGTCAGAATATCTCAGTGCTCCTTGCAGTTGACATCTCTCGCTGGTACTCTAAGCCTTGGCTTTCGTGTACTAAGGGAGGTGGCAGCTCGAAGCCAATATTCCAGCTCCATTCATATTTATTTTGCTATAACTGTAACTCGTCTTAACGTAACTTATCATTTGCCACTGATTATTCATATTATTTTGTTTGTTGACTTGTCTTTTATATTTTATGTGCTTAACTTTATTTATGTCTTGTTTTTCTAAAGTAATTAAAATTTCATTGTTAAATTTACTTGTGTTTTGTGAGTCTTCCCATTACCTTACCACAGACGAAAGTTCCAGCTTTTCTCTTTTTTTTTTATAATGTGACAAGGCCCTGCCCCTAGCTTTTGAAACAGCCGAACACCAACGCTTTACCGTCACATATATTTGATATCTCTCTCGTCTTCTTTCTGGTGAGTACATTTGGAGAGCTCTGAGACGATCCCAATAATTTAGGTGCTTTATCGCGTCTATGCGTGCCGTATATGTTCTCTGTATTCCCTCTATTTCAGCAATCTCACCTGCTCTGAAGGGGGGAAGTGAGTACTGAGCAATACTCAAGACGGGACAACACAAGTGACTTGAAGAGTACAACCATTGTGATGGGATTCCTGGATTTGAAAGTTCTCGTAATCCATCCTATCATTTTTCTGGCTAATGCAATATTTGCTTTGTTATGCTCCCTAAACGTTAGGTCGTCAGACATCATTATTCCCAAATACTTTACATGCTGTTTTCCTACTATGGGCACATTTGATTGTGTTTTGTACCCTGTATTATGTCTTCAGCCGAGGTAATATTCATACTGATTTTTGTGTCATCTGCAAAGGATGATACGAAGCTGTGACTTGTATTTTTGTCTATATCTGATATGAGAATAAGGAAAAGCAGCGGTGCAAGGACTGTACCCTGAGGTACAGAGCTTTTAACTATGCCCTGACTAGATTTTATATGGTTGACCATTACTCGCTGAGTCCTGTTTGACAGAAAACTGAGTATCCAGCGTCCTACTTTACCAGTTATATCCTGGTCACTACAATCACCTCCACCCCATCCTGGCCACTACAATTACCTCCCCTATCCTAGCCACTACAATCACCTCCCCCCATCCTGGCCACTACGATCACCACCCCCAATCCTGGCCACTACAATCACCTCCCTCCATCCTGGCCACTGCAATCACCTCCCCACATCTTAGCCACTACAATCACCTCCCCCATCCTGGCCACTACAATCACCTCCCCCCATCCTGGCCACTACAATCACCTCCCCCATCCTGGCCACTACAATCACCGCCCCCATCCTGGCCACTACAATCACCTCCCCCA